GAGATATAAGTAAGATGATGTCACTCTGACTTAGAAGCACACATCAAGAAAGAGGACCTTTGGGAGCCAGAAAGAGATCCTTATTAAACTCACCCTATGGGGTAGCCTGACCTGAAACTTCCAGCCTTCAGACCACGGAACACATAAATTGTTACTACAGCCATCAAGTCCATTATGGCTTCCTGAAGGCAGTAAGATAAAAACTCTTATGTTAGTAATCAGGGTGGAAGACATGAGAAATGGGACTAAGAAAGTGGACTTGGGTACCCATGGTGTGTGACATGTGAGGCAAGCAGGAGTTTGGAGGACAGCAACAGAGCCCAAGGCAAAACATTAGGATGGGCCCCAATTATATAAAGCAAATAGCACAGAAAAGAGGATCCTCTCTCTCTCTCTCTCTCTCTCTCTCTCTCTCTCTCTCTCTCTCAATCTCTCTCTCTCTCTCTGTCTCTCTCCTGCAGGTAATGTATCTGTGAAAGGTGTTTGAGTTGGGGATATAAATAAATATGGGAGTAGTCCCAAAGAAGCCTCCTTTGAACTTGAAGCCAGAGATCCTAAGCAGAGGAAACTACTATAGCTTCCAGCTGGTCCTTCCCCAAGTGTTTCTTCATGTTGTCATCTGTGGCCACAGTAGAAACAAGTATGTCTGAAGGACAATAAAGGACATTTTTTTCCATTCCCACTTTGGGTTATGACTTGTCTGAAGTTGCTAAAATAAACAATCAGTACAGGGGATGTGGGTCAATGGGTAGAGAGCTTTCCTAGCACGCACAAAAGACCTGGTTTTGATACCCAGCACTGGTAAACTGGGCGTGGTGGTGTACATCTGTAACCCCAGCTCTCAGCAGTCAGATCAGGAGTTCGAGATAATCCTAGGCTACTGTTCTAGTTTTATTTATATTGCTCTGATAAAATACTCAGAAAAAAGCAGCACAGGGTAGGAGAGGGATTATTTGGCTTATAGTTACAAGTCATAGTCCATCATATGGAAGTCAAGGCAGGAAGGAACTCAAGAAGCTGATTACATCACTTCATCGGTCAAGAGTAGAGAGAAACAAATGTACCCATGCTGCCTACTTGCTTGTTTTCAGATAGCATCCATTATTCTTGCAGTTCAGGGTTTCTTACCTAGGGAATAGTGCCGCCCATAATGGGTTGGATCAATGAACAATCAAGACAACCCCCACAGACATGTTCACAGGCCAACCTGATCTAGATAATAGCTAAACTGAGACTTTTCTCAGGTGATTCTAGGCTCTGGCAAGTTGCCATTTCAAACTAACCAGCACAGCTACATAGTGAGTCTGAGGTTCAGTGGAGAGGTAACTAATGATATAACCCACACCTGAGTCCAGGTCCTACATGCCTAGACTGTGGGGGGGGGGTGGCAGTGAGACCCTGTGCTTCTCAGGGGCTGTAGGGGAGACTGAACACCTGAATTCATTTTCCATTGATTGTCTTGTCAGCAGACAGTGGCTTCAGCAGCGTTCATCTGTGCACTGTGAGCCTATGAGGGATGAATCTAGAGCAGTTGTTGCTGGGACCCCTTCAGGCTTGATACAACTGAGGTGAAAAGGAATGGCTAGGCAGACTGCTCAGGAGGTGTTCTTGAGGAAGTCTACTCTCAAGCTTGTTCTTCTTGGTGGAATCGAGTTCCTTGTGGTTGAGGCGAGATAGGTACAGACATTTTGGGAAAGATATCATGTCTCAATTTCCCTGACATGAGCCACCAGGCATTGGACAGCTTTTTTTCTTTGATCCAGTGTGTGTTGGGAAGGACACAGTTACATAGAGGACAAGTCTATCCATCATTTCAGACCAAAACAGGACTCAAAGGTCAAGGCAAAGGCTTCCTGGACCAAGGCAGCTGCTTGCAATAAGCAGCTCTGTTTCCTGTCTTCATCAAGAACCCATGCTTGGTCAGATGACGACATCATTTGTGATCCACAGGGGTGGGCCTCTGAGAGTCCTTCCCTGACAGGCCTTTCAGAAGCTCTTCCTGCATCTGTGACATCCACTAGCTAGTCAGGGTCATCCATTCTAACGTCTCTTTTGCAACTAATTTAGGGACCCCTGCAAGGCTGCACCATCCTGTACCCTCCTGGGACAGCCATCTCCTGTCACTGTGCAGATGAAGGAGTCATCAAAGCAATGGTCCATGCACCCTGCTGACTGACTATATTGCTGCATACAGGACACAGTACCTCTTGGGTCACTGGAAAGGGATATGGGGGTCATTCAATCCAAGTATCTTTCTGTCAGCAAATTTGTCTGTGAACCATATGACTGGTATTTATTATGAAGTCAGCAGTTAGCCTGTTTAATCAATTCCTTCACAGATTGCTTGGTAGAACCAAGGGAAGGAAAAAATACTCAAAAGCAGAAATCTAGAAGAAGTCATGGTAGAAAGAACCACTGGGTCTGGCCTCTCTAGTCTCCTAGTCCCACAAGAAGTCAGGAACACTTACTTACACATTAGCACAACATGGTTCCTACTACCCCAAGAAAGATCTAGAAGGTTAGCATCCCCTGGTGAGCCTGACCAGCCTGCTGCGATGAGTGGCTACCACATTGCCTTGTGCTTCAAGAGACGCCTGACTCTCATTCTCCCAGGCTCCAGCAGGTCGGCTCGGCTCTGAGCAGTTAGGATTTTTGTTGTTTTTTTTTTTTTTAAGTCTCATAAATTTCCAAGAAACTTCTCCAGACAACTGTCACGAGGCTGCACCTGCCAAACAAACACAAACAGAGCTCTCCTCCACCAGATTAGTTACTTAATTAAGAAGAGAAAGAGACAAGGCACATAATGTGGAGATAATTACCCATCTTGCCAAGTCTCCAAGTGGAGCGTGGCGCGCGCAGGCAAATTGCAGCACTGCCGCTAATGCATATTCATCCAAAGTTGTAACTGCTGTGAACATTTTCCACACAGACAGCAATATGTTCAACCAACAATCTCAGCTCCTTCTCCGATTCCAGCGTCTTCCCACACCCTTCTCTTGCCTCCCCAGGCTCCCGCCCCTGATCTCTGTGAAGGAATTTGCTAAACAAAGCAAATAAGAAAACAGTGACAAGTGAGTGGAACCGCAACAACCCACTCCACCAAATTTGGCCTCAAAAGCAAGATGCTTCCTTTTTTCCCCTAACCTGTTGACTCATTTGATTTCATTTCATTGAATTGAATTCCAAAGACATCTTCTATTTATTTATTTAGTGTGTGTGTGTGTGTGTGTGTGTGTGTGTGTGTGTGTGTGTGTGTGTGTGTTGGGTGGAGGAGGCACTTGCCACACACGCATGTAGAGGTCAGAGGCCAACTATCAGGAATAAGTTCTCCCCTTTTACCATGTGGGTCCAGGAATCAAACTCAGATCTTCAGCCTCAGTGACAAGCATCTTGGCTTGCTGAGCCATCTTGAAGGCACACAAAGGCTTATCGGGCATTTACTGTTCTGGACCTGAAGCCGATCAAGTACTGTGAGGTACAGAGAGCATAAGGAGGTCTCAACCTAAAAGCCACACCTAAGGAGATGCACTTCCCCTCTTGGCTAAGCATGATGGGCCTTATTTTTGTCCCTTTTACAGATGAAGTGGGCCAAGGTGATTAATTAAGTTGACAAAAGAACAGAGTAAAGGAATCAGTGTTCTGGCCTCTGAATCATTCTTATCTAACTGATGTCAAATCCCATGGACTAGGCAGACAGGGAGAAATTCTTTCTTGAAAACACTGAAAACAAATGAAGAGAGCAGAACTTGGAGACTGATAGAACATGTGGGCTCTGACACTTACCAGCTCTGCTGCCTGGGGCAATCATTTAACTGTGAAAACGATCGTTTTCCTCATTAGTAAAATATAGATGGGACACTGGAGGAATGGACCAGAGGGTAAAGGGCTTGCCTAGAAAATTGGGGGACCAGGTTCAGATCCCTAATATATATTTAAAGCGAATGGGTGGCCTTATAATCCCAGATCTTGGGAAGTAGAGACAGGGAATTCTCAGAGCAAACTGGATCACTAGACTAGACAAATTAGGGAGCTGGTTTTCAGCTGAGAGAACCTGTCTCAGTATACAACAGAGAGCAATTAAGGAAGACACCTAAGGCCTGTGTGTTCATACACACACACACACACACACACACACACATACACACAGACACACACAGACACACACACACACTAATATAAAATGCAGATGATGAGATCTAAGAATTAAAACTGCTAATATTAAATAAACTAGATTACTAAAAAAGTAGCTCTGAATACTGCATGTCACCTACTTAAGAAATACAGAGTTCCCAGACTTCTGATAGTTTGACTTAGAATCTCCTAATGGTGCAATGGCAGTGCATGTTCAATAGAAGCCACTAACTTTGACTCCTTCCCAACCTAGGATATACAGTATAGTAGTCTCTAAAGGTACTTGCAGGGGCAATGAATTGCAGCTTCCAATTGGACACATACCCAAGAGGGTCAACAACCTAGACTGTGCAGCCAAGCTGTGCTCTTGGCTGGGTTAAGTGTACCAAACCCACTGTTGACTTGTGGAGACTTCATTTTCTGTGACTTTATCAGGGTTTAGTTCCATCGGGAGTCAAGAAGCATCGGCAGTTAATGCATTCTCCTTGACTGCAACAGATGGGAAAATAAGTTCAGCTGGAGACCAGGGGGAGTGATGGGTTCAGGGCACAGACAGCAATGGGGACCTGCATGCAGGCAGGAAGGGGGTTTGTGTGAGTCTTTCAGTGACATAGAAGACAGCTGTGTTCAGAAGATGGTGATGCTGTGACCAGAACCTGAGGAGAACCAGAGGAAGGGCAGCATAGACTGGTGCCTAGTGGTGTGGAACGAAGATTTTCCAAAGAGACACTTGCACTCTTCCCTTGATTGTCAGACTGTTGAAAGAATGGACCCCAGGAAATTGGAATTCTCTCAGAATTCTCATACTGGGAGACAGAAAGGAAAGACTGGAAGGAGAGCTTATCTGTGGGAACAAGATGTCTACTTACCAGATCATTATGCCAGAGAGCCCAGAGCTGATGATGGTGCGGAATAGGACCATACTTTGGCCATGACTGCTGAACTCTGCACACCCGTCATCTATTTAAACCAAAATTTGAAATTAGGACCCTAAAGATGAACATGGGAGGGCCTCACCAGGCCTCTCTGCTCCTCTTCTCAATGCAGCCACATTAAATAAATCTGCCCCCTCCTTGCTTTTCACTGTTGTTTGTTTTATTAGCTTGTGGAAGGCAAGGAGCTGAGCCTGGCTCATTTAGGACTGCTGGGGTCCCAGCTCTAACAAGTCCAGTAGCAGTGTAATGCCTTGAGCAGAGTTAGAACCATCAAGGCCATTTGGAGCACGGCTTAGAAAGAGGAGCAGGCTAAGGTGGGTCAGCCCACTCATGAAATCTGGGCAGTTCCCATATAATCAGAGAAAGAATTGGTTTTGTTACTTCCAGAACATGCTCAAGGAGTAGGAAGCTGACAGGCTAACTTCTTTAAAAGCATGTATAGCCAAACTTAGCTGGTACTTCGCAATTTAGTGACCCTCCTTGCCAGTGCCAGGGCCAGTGAGAAAAGTACCCAGTCTCTAAGGAAGAAGTTGACTCACATTAAATGAACTTAGCATTTCCATTCCACCTGATCCACCTCTGGTTAGGCCTGAGGAACCCATAGCAGATAAAGGAACTGCAGTGGGTCTCTGTGATCAAACCTTAGGAACAGAACCTCACCCCTGTATCCCTGCCCTTCTGTCAGGCTAACCCCACTAGGTGGCTAAGTCCACTTGACCAAGACTGATTGGACTTGTATTGGAACACTAAGGACACTCCCCAATCAATTATGTGCCATATCAATTATTGATGCTTGTCAAGGACATCCTTCAGATGGATGTATCTATATAGGTCATCCTTTGCAATCATCTCTGAATATTTGTCTAGTTTAGCTGCACCCAGTTAAGCCATTGCCAGTGAGTAAGAGATGAGAACAGAAGCAAAGAACAACAGTGTAATGTTTAGATTAAGAGAAAGCAGCTTCATTTTCAAATGGCCCTCCCATGGTTAAGAATGAAGAACAGCCCATTGCGGAGATCCTCAGCCTTCAGTGTTTAGCTCAGTGTCCTCATTTAATTTATGTTGCTGTGACAAAATATTCTAACAAAAATAAATTATGGAGAAAGAGTTTATGTGGCTTATAATTCCAGGCCATATAACACATCATTGTGGAAAGTCAAAGCAAGAACTTGAAGCAACCAGTTATACCCACAATCAAGAGTAAAGATAAATTAGTTCACCCATGCGTGTCAGTGCTCAGTTTGTTCTCTATATATAGTCCAGGAACTCCTGACTAGGAAATGGTGCCACTCATAGTGGGCTGAGTCTTCCCACATCAATTAACATTTAAAACAATCACCCATACACATGCCCATAGGCCATCCTGCTCTAGACAAATCCTCCGAAAGACTCTTCCTGGATCATTCCAGATTACGACAAGCTGACAATTAAATTTAATCATCACACACAGTAAGCTGGCTGATGATTGAAATGATTTGGTTGTCCACTTACATTTAGTTTCAGTTGGCCTGGAACAGGGGTAGTCATCCCTAAGCTGTGACATGGAAACGTTGGGGACCTTTGTGCCTTCTGGGGCTGCCATTGGGGAAGCAGCATGCAGCCTCCTCGTGAGGTTTCTAAACTGCCAAACTCTCTGACGGCTCCAGTCACTGAGGTCAGCTCACAGTACGCCAGAAGAAATGGACAAGGGAGACTGATTTTCTGCTGGTGTGTCAGGACTGAATAGTGCCTTGGGGGTGTGAGTACGAGGAGGACTGTGGTCCTCACAATAGCAGGCTACTCTCTCAAGACACAGGCAATGAGCTGGTGGCAGCTAGTTCAGTCAGCAGCGTGTTGCCCCCACAAGCAGGAGGACCTGAGTCTGATCTCTAGCGCCTACATAAAATGATGCTAGGCATGGTGGGATGACCCAAAAGAAGCATAAATCCTCTTATCAGTTTGTAATTCCAGTGCTGAGGGGGCAGACATAGGAGGATGCCTAAGCATTGCTGACTACCCCGGTCTAGCCTAATTGGTGAGCTCCAGGCAAATGAGAGACAGTGGAGGATCTCCACGAAGAAGGCATTCCTGAGGATGAAAACTGAAATTGCTCTCTGTCCTGTACACACACACACACACACACACACACACACCACACACACTATAGGCAGTATGACTGGAGCAGAGGTCCCAGAGAGGAAGTCAGAGCTCTCATGACACTGAGTGCATGTGGCTTGCTAAGCATAAGCTCTCTGGACCTATCTGCTTGTAGAAGTCCACACCTTGGCAGCTCCCTGCTTCAGTTATCAAAATTTTCATATGACCACAAGCCTACAAGGAAGCAACCTCCCCCTAACCAGCTTCAGAGGTAGGCTGTGAATAACCTCCTCTTAAGAGCTCATTAGCTGCCTTCCTACCAAACAGAACATGGGACGTCGCAGGCAGGTTGTGTCTGTCTGAACACCCCCACTCCTCCCACCCCCGTTGTGTGTACCTGTACCTGAGTCTGTCAGGGCCCTGTTGTTCTAATGTGGCACCTGATGATGTGTCACTTCTTGTGTCCTTTCCTGTCTCCCACCTGTTCACAGAGACTTCTAAATTAGCCATCTGTTGCCAAGGAAACTCTCAGCTCCCACAAAGTGTGAATCCTGAGAGATTTTTGGAAGAAGGGGAGGTGATTTATTGAGCCTGGTTTGGTCTGTATACCTATCACAGCCTAGATAACAGAGGCCAAAGTTGTATATGTGCATGTGTTGTTTTCTGAGACAGAGACTCATAGCTCAGGGTAATTTTGACCTTTAACTTCTGGTCTTCCTGCCTCTGCCTCTCAAGTGCTAAGATTACAAGTGTACAAGTGTGTGCTACCATTCCCAGTGTATAGTGTTAGGCACTGAACCCATGGCTTCATACATGTTAGGCAAGTACTCCAATGAGCCTTACCACCAGCCTGATAGTGGTGTCTTGGTGGATATGGGCCTCCTACTTCCAGCTATATAGCCTTAAAAACTTGCCTAAATGCAGATCTCTAGGCCCATCATGACATCCTGAGTCATTATCTAGACTCTAGATACTAGATTCTAGAGCATGGGTTCAAAGGCTACTTGTGGCCTGAAAAGAGGCCTTTTGAGGATCAGGAAAATAACCACAGGTTTTGCTGTTAAACAGAGAATCACAGGCTGGAGAAATGGCTCAGCCATTAAAAGCTAAGCTCACAACCCACACGTCAACAGAAAATAGTCACAGAGGGCTGGAGCATCGCTGACTTGTGTTCAATAATTATATCTTCTTCACTTGCCGTTTGTAGATGGCGGCAGAGTTAAAAAGGATGCAGTAACACAGAAACCCAGGCCTGTGTTCTGGAACATCTTCTCTAGGTCCTACAAGCTATGTGCTATTTCCTGGAAGTTGCTTTGAGCTCTCAGGGTGTAAAGGGTATTCCAAAGCTGCTAAGGACAAATCAGTATCTAATTAGATCAAAATGGAGACAATGACAGTGGTTGGAATCACCTACACATATAGGCCTCGCATGGACTGCCGCAGTCCCCAGAGAAGCTCGAGACCTGTTCACCATAATTGGGTGAGCCAAGAGCTAGCTAGTGTGCCGTCTCCACTGCCTCTTCCTTCCTCTCCTTCCTTGCCCATGTTCAAAGTATCTTGAGAAGTGAATCCTCCTCAAATACAGGAAGGACCACATTGCCTGCATTTCTTCTCTCAATGGCTCTGTGCAAGCATTCACCCCAGTCCAGATCCTTGTCATATGTGTCTTATGCTAGCATTAAGAGACACCCCACAATCCCATAGAGACTTGGGAAGACAGACTTCACATGACCTGGCCCAGGTCACAGAAAGTGGGTGGAGGCCCCTGTGCACTCCTGAGAGAGTCCTCTTTCCAGCACTCTGCAGCCTTTGGTGCGGCATTTTCTCTCTTCTACTGAAGCTGAAGATTTTTTTTCCAGTGGTGAGTGACATCCTGCCTGACCCTCACTGTGTGCACAGGAGCAGTGACATTTTCAAAACCATTCATTTTCATTCCTCCTGATCCACTGTGGAGTCCCGGGAATGCTGGTGTGGGCACTCCATAACACGAGGACTGTATTCACAAGATGTCCTTCATCCTCCTGTGCCTAACAAAGGATTTGAAATTTTAAAAAGGGGTGATTGAGAGGAGGGCTGGGCATGGAGGTGGCTTAGGACAGAATATGGATGGACCTGCAAACTCATTCCAAAGATGGCATGGTAGCAAGGAGAGCCTGGTGCCCACTTTTCAATAAATAAAAGACTTGAGTTTCTATAACTGACTGGATGTTCCTGCACCCTTTATGATAACAGGTGGAGAGTGCTTGGAACATGAGTCTTCCTCTGGATCATCCAGTCCAACCACCTAGCCTGACCTCCAGCAGAGGTGCTGCCAGCTCTGAAGATGGCATGTCCATTCCATCTCTGTTTAGAAGCTGTGCCCCCAAAGACCTACCTCGGTGTATCCACAGGCAAGTGTGTTTTCTTTGCAAATCAATGATAAGGGCAAAGGTAAGGCAGGAGTGACAGTCTGTTATGTTGTCCAGTGGAATGAGGAGAAAGTGGAGGAAGACGGCCCAGTCCATAATGTGGTTGCCCTGCAAGCATGAGGACCTAAATTCAGTCCCCAGAATCCAAGGGACGGTGGAGAGGGGAAGACAGATGGGGTGGAAAAGGGTTGTATCTAAGCTCTGGGGCTCATTAGTCAGCTCAAAAACAAAGTAGACAGAGCCTATGGAAGGACACCATGATAGTATTCTGGTCTTCACATGAGTGACACACACACACACACACACACACACACACACACACACACTAGTGGTGATAGCAATAATTAACAATACATAAACCTTGTGGGACTGTCTCTGGGCAGTTTCGACTAGTGGACACCCACCGCTGTAGGAGATTGGAAATTTCCTTAGGAATGCTCATGGTTGTACCAGGGAAGTGGCAGAGACAGGAGAAGGGAGTTCTCAAGGGCACCCCAGAGATGCTGTAACTAGCACAGGGCTCTGACAGGACAGTGTTCCCACACTCCTGAGAACACCGGGTCCAGTCACATGGACAGCTCCCCTTCTCTGAGGGTCAGAAACAGACCCTGGGCCTGCCTTTCCCAGCTGAGAGGCATACAGAACAGAGGCCTCATCTCCCTGCTGTCCCTGGACACTCCATGCATTGTTCCCCACTTTCTTCCCTCCCCTTTGTGGAGCTGGGACTCACTGTCTATGGCCAATGACTAGCTCAAACCCATGGTTATTTAGCCAATGCTGTCTCATTGGGCACTCAAGACAGTTCTGGTGACCCATCTCTGAGAGCAGTCCACACATAGTTAGAGCTCAGTTTCTCCACCCATAGGCAATGGACTTGGAAAGTTTCCTTACACTCACGCCTCTCTTTCTGCATCCATAAAACAGAGTCATTAAAAGCACCAACTCACTGTAAGACTGAAAGGGGAGCTAGACAAATGAGGGTCTAGCCCAGTGCCTGGCACAAAATCAACACATCCACGTAGTTGTCACAGTAAGAGGTGGCAGGAACTCAGGAGGTTTGGAAAGAACTCAGCTAAGACTCACCTCAGGTTCCACTATAACCTCAGATCAGTGGCTCTCAAGATGTGGTCCATGGAAGAGGAGTCTCTGCATCCATGGAAACCCAAACACTTCAGTGCATCCCAAACCCATGGGGTCATAATCAGCAACTCTAGGATGGAGTCCAGCTGTCTACGTGACCTCCAGGGACTCACATGCAAGGTGAAAATGCCCCATGGTGGGAGATTGAGCAGGACCCTCACTCTACTTCATACACAGTAGGAACCTCTCACTTAGAGCAAACTCCACAGGTCTGTGAAATCTCTTGCAAAGCAATCCCCGGAATAACTGACCTGAAGAGCTGGAGCATGGGGTGCAAAGGAGCAGCTAAGAGTGATAAGGAAGTTAGCAGCTCCTGGAGGATGGTTATTTTGAGCTCAAGAGGAGGAGGAGGAGGAAGGAAGAAAGGGAGGGAGAGAGGGAGGAAGGAAGGAAGAAAGAAAGAAAGAAAGAAAGAAAGAAAGAAAGAAAGAAAGAAAGAAAGAAGATGAACCATACCTTAGTAAACCCATAACATGGCTCTCCATACCTCCTTCCTATGGTCTTCAACTTCAGTTCCCAGTGCCCAGGCCAATGCAAGCCAGAAAGCTGCATGCACTGTGTTTCTCCTACCCATGTCACGTGATACCATGAGGCATGAAATGAGGAGACCGCCTCAGTTAGACCTGAAAAAGGGAAAAGAAGGAGTAATCAGGGCCTGGCAATGTAGCTAAGTTAGTAGACTGCTTGCCTACCAGGCACCAAGCCCTGGGTCCATCCCAAGCATGATGTAACAATAAGGCACAGTGGGACACACCTATAACCTGGTGCTCAGGGATGCATGTAGAGTGGGACACACCTATAACCTGGTGCTCAGGGATGCATGCAGAGGACCACAGTTGAAGGTTATCCTTAGCTACTCACCTGCATAGCTAGTCTGAGACTAGCCTGGACTAGATACAACCTTGTCTCAAGAAAACAACAAGAACGACTAAGAGCCAAGAGAACCCCGCATGTTTATCACCGGTGGGGGAGTAGATGAGGCAGCAGGGCCAGGTCAGGACTTGGATAGGCAGGAGATGCTCCTCAGACACAACACTGAAAGAGTCATCCAGGTAGCCCAGTCTAGGAGGGGCACCTCTAAACCTTCCCACTCGAGTCCTCACATGACATGAAAGTCAACCCACTCCTTCCAGTAAAATTGTGGTTTCTTCTAAGAACTCAACTGAGTCAGAGCCATCATTCATTCCTGATTTGAAAGAAAACATTCGGGAGCAAGGTAGGAGGCTAGCCCCTTCTACTAACAATATTCTTCCATAGTCCTGCTGTGGGGACCAAGCCCTGTTGTCGCCCCCACCCCCGCCCCCCGCCCTCTGCCTCTGCCTGGCATCAATGATGCTGCTATTTCAATCTAGGGGATCCTGCGTGGCCCTCCTGCCTGCCGGGAGGTGGCACCGCCCACCTGTGCCAGCTGCCAGGCTGGCCTCTGCATGCCTGGAGCCTCAAGGCTCTGAATGGCAGCAGCAGGTGGGAGTCCCGCTGGGGGAAGGCAATGAAACTCACAGCCGTAAACGAGTTTATTATTGTTGTTAACTCAGGAAATAAACATCTCCGGCACTAATAAAGCACTGCGCTTTCGGTCTTTATGTCTCAGAGCCCAGGTTTTCCCAGCACCTGGGCTGCTGGAGCTGGAATAGCCCTCTGAGTCCAAGGCATTGGCCAGGCTGTCTCCCCGTGGCTCCTCTTCCACCAATGGCAAGCAGCTCAGTGTAGCTCAGCCCTGCCTGCTCCATCAGGAGCTGGGAGAGGGCAGCATGGCAGAGACTAGACCAGGAGCTCCTGTGGGTGTACCAAGACGCTGGGGAAAGGGTTTCACTTCGCTTCTCTCTGTTCTCAGGCAATGAATGCTGAGCTGGCCCTGTGGGCGAGGGTGGGATGCCCTCTTGTCCATCAGACGCTCCTGCTGGGGGACCGCAGTGACACCACAGGCCTGTTGCTGTTTCCTCTGGGTTTCCATTTCTGCAAACAACGCCAAGGTCTGGGGCTCATGAACATTTCCCGCAGTGAAGGTTTAGAGTCCAAGATGGATTCTCTGATGCTGAGGGTGGGGTCTCCAGGCCAGGTTCACCTAGGTTGTGTGCCCTCTTCTATATCTTTGGAGTCCTCTGTGTCCAAAGCAGATAAGGAAAGCTGGTGAAGTCAAGGCACAGTGGCTTAAAAGTCCTGGCCTATGCCCTTTGGTAAGAACTAGTCACATGGCCCATGGTGTTACAAGAGTGCTTGGGGGATGTAGTTCCTGATGGAGTAGTGACACCCCCCCACACTGCCACATAAATACAAACATACCTGTGGGCTGGAGATTACGAATCCCCAGGGGATAGTTGGTCATCTCTGTCACAGACTGTTTATTAGAGAGCTGAGTGATGATGTCAAGGTTGTAACCTCAGTCTTAAAGGGTTTAAATTTGGCTATTACCCATTGGGCCTAGGAGTCACCATTGTCACTGCCGGAACTGGGTGCAGTAGAAGAAAAATGATGAGTGAATTCATACAGGCACTCCTATCTACCTCGGTTTCTCTAACTAGAAGAAGGTATTATGAAGACTACCTACCCCCCAGGTCAACATGCCATTTAGAAATGATTCCCAACCCCTGGCGCTGCACAAAGACATCTAAAGAACCTCAGAGCCAACGAATCTGGGAAAGAGGCAGTCAGTATGAGCAGAGCAGGAGGCGGCCTGCCCTGCCCTCTATCCTCACAGATGTCCCCCAAATCTCAGCCTATGGGATTACCACTGAGCCCAGCATGGCTTTATAAGACAGAACTGTGGGTGTGTGCTTGATTTAAAATCACTCCGGCAAAAACAAACAGATAGCAAACACCTTCCCTCAGACGGCGAATATACATACACAACCACACAGGGTGAACAACAAACAGATTAGCAATAGACGCAGCCTGTCTACATTTAGTGCAAGCTTGGTACACATGCACACCTTGCTTTATCCCTCCTCCTAAAGCAATTATCCTGCTAAGAATGCTCAGAGAGAGAGAGAGAGAGAGAGAGAGAGAGAGAGAGAGAGAGAGAGAGAGAGAGAGAGAGAGAGAGAGAGAGAGAGAGAGAAATAAGAAGTATAAATGCTCAGCTTTCAAAGGGCTGATGGTGGGGATGTGAAGAGAAACAGCCCAGGAAGGACTGTTTAAATACGAAGCCCTGGCCTGGGGATGTAGCTCAGGTGTGCTTGCCTGGTATGCATGAAGTCCCATGTTCCATCCCCAGCACTGCATTAGCCAGGCATGGCGGTACATGGCTCTAATCTCAGTTCTGGAGAGATAGAGACGGGGGATCAGAACTTTAAGATCACCCTAAGCCACACAGTGAGTTCAAGGCCAGCCTGGGCTATATGAACCTTTGTCTCAAAAATGGAAATAGAAAAGATGGGAGGAAACCCTGTGTGTTCAGACCTGTGGAAGTTCTGGTTAAGTAAGAATAGGCACCGGACCTTCTAGCAGGTAACAAAACCCCGCCATGCCTCCGAGGCCCCTGTGTGTGATGGAGGGTGCTGGAATGGGGTCAGGGACTATACCATGGTTTCCATTCCATGCCAACTGGGTCCCTTGAGCAGAGTGTGTGACCTTAGCAGCTCTGGAACTCAGAGGCGACCTGTGCAAAGCCACATCCAAGACCTGATACCCAGCAGTTGGGCGAGCTGCAGGAACTTCCTGTTCAACCCAAGAGAGGCAGAGTTCCTGAAAACCCAGGGGCTGTCCTGCTGGGCTCATAGGATATTTAGTGTATGGTTGAATGGTACTGTGACGTTGTCACCCTCTCCTCCTTGCCTCCCCCTCCTCCTTCAGCTCTTCCTTCACCCTTCCCTCTTTACTTTACTTAATTCTCCCACAATACCCTGAGGCATCAACCAATCAGAAGCTTGAGAAAGGTTTATGTCCCTCCTCAGATTGTTAAAGTGGAGCTCCCATGGACCTGCTCTAATCCCAGTTTTGTCACTGACTCCTAGTGACCTGAAGCAAGTCACAAACCTATGGAAGCCCTGGGTTCCCCAGGTCCAAATGGAGAAAACACCCTGGAGAACAATATGGGGTTAAACAAAACAAAACAATACATCATAGCACTAAGTTTGGGGGAGCTGTGGGTGATGATGAACAGTGACCAGTATCTTCATCCCATGGATACTACAAGGACCTCTTCACCTGGCTTCTCTGTCTCTCTGGAATTACCATCATAGGAACTTTGCTAAGACTTTGACCCCTGGAAAACTACAATATAGAAAGAGTACATACGAGCGAGTGGAAGGTGCCAGAAGCAAATTCCTACATTCATGTAGCTTGACTAAGGTGGTAAGTCAATTTACCCTCCTTCTGATTCCAACCAGCTGGGAGAAAGCAGGCTGAGGTTGCTAATAGAATATTCTGGTTGCTTAATGGCTTGATAGAAAGATACTGGTTCATTGCCTGGTGGTATGGAGAATATGGAATCTTTGTTGTAGTTATGGGGACTTGCTCCCTGGTTATTCCCTCCCACCACCCTACCCAGTCCATCCCCCTAAGGAACGATGTTTTTCTCCCAGCATGGCTGCCCTTGGCTTTGCTTTCTGCCTACCCGGAACCCAGCTGCTCACAGCCAGAGCCAGCTCTGGCTCCTGGAGGGAAACAGATTTGAGCATGCAAGACCATACCTCAGCATCCTTCTCCCCAAGCCTCATTACGATATTGTCGATATTCCCCGCAAAAGGGCATCTCTCCCGACGCCTTCGCTTTTATATTAATGTGCGTGAAGGCAAGTCAAGCCTGATTAGCATGAAGACAATTGCTGCAATCCCTCCTGGAGAAGGCTCTCCCAGACTGCGTAGGCGGTTTAATTTCAGAGAGCCATTAATTGGCAAAATTGCTTAAGCAGCTGCTCTCCGTGTCATTTCAGGACCACTTCGTGAGAAGCAGGGAAGAGAGAGGGAGGGAAGGGAGCTGGCTTCCCTGCAGGCCAGCCTGCCTGGGCGCTAGCGTCCACACTCACCTGAGCAGATGGACACAACCCTGTGGGAGGGCCACGCGTGTCCCTGCTCTTGTCTAACCCATCATTCGGCCCTTACTGCCACGTGCACACCCCACCAGCCTCTCTGCTGCCCCCTTTCTCTCTAACCACGATCAGCCAGGATGGAATTCCCACCCACCTACAACATCAAGTTCAGTGTCAACTCTTCCCAGAAGTTTCCAGGATGGGCTCCTGGAAAGTTTCTCTCCTCTCCTCTTCTGTACAATTCCATTCTAATGTATGTGGATAGGTGTTTTGCTTGTATGTCTGTCTGGTTACTGCGTATATGCCTGGTGCTCACGGAGGAGAGAAGAGGGTGCTAGATCCCTTAGAACTGGAGATATAGACAGTTGTGAGCCACCATGTAGATGCTGGGAATTGCACCCAGGTCCTCTGGAAGAGCATCTCTCCAGCATGTCCCTTTCTTTCTGACTCCTTTGTGGCAATGCTTCTGTTTTGTCCCAGATCATACTAGACAGTGGGCAGGGATTGCCATGGATAGCTTCAATTGTCAACATGACCCAACATCGAATCACTTGAGAAGAGGGTCTCAGGGGGCAGTTGTTTATATTGGGTTGACTTGTGGACATATGTATGGTGGGTTGAATTAATTGAAATGGAGGACCCATTCTAA